TTGTTACATCAAGGTCTCAAAACTCAAAGGAAGAATGTTCGGGATTCTTGGTTTGGCATTGAAGACTTGTTTACCCATGGAAGATGAAGATGATTATTGTTAGGTAAGTATAAGTGCCAGCACATGGCTACTAAAGTGTGATAGAATTAGAGTTGCTAATGATGAATGGAAACCTAGTTAGATGGGTTTAGCTGGATATTAAAAAGTATGTATGGAATGACCTTTACAGCTAATTGCTAATTATTTGTTAAAATAGTAACTTTAGGGTTAACTCCAAAAACCTGTCCTAAGTAAGGATTCGAGACTGCAACTCGCTTACATAAAGCCGAAATCGCTAGTAATCGTCGGTCAGTCATACAACGGTAAATTTGTTTTCGGACCTTGTACATACCGTCTGTCACACTATGGGAGCTGGCCATGCCCAAAATCGTTATAATGCAAAAGGAAGGACTGGTAACTGGAGTGAAGTCGTAACAAGGTATTAACCCGATATCTAAAATTTCAAATTTCGGCATTATAAAAATTTAAAATTTAATATTACCGTATAATTTTTAATAATGAAATACAAAACATTTTCATTTGTTAAAAAAAAAAAAAAAAACCATTGAATCAATTTAAAATCCTTGATTTTTCGAAGCAATTAACCGAGATTATCTTAAACTATCTTATCTTTTCAAACCACCCATTTCATTTGTGTAACTATCCACGTCTAAGATTCGGATACAGATTCGACACTTGATGCCACCGACATGGCGTGCACTTTCTTTTTTCAGTAGTTCGACCATAGGAACTTCATAGTTAAGCGTATTTTGCTTGAAGCAATTTTAGGTTAGGTGACCTCTTGAGTAAATGCATGTAAATGAGCACAAAATATGCTCAAAGAACTCTGTGTCGGTATGCGAGAATAATCTTGACTATGAAATGTGGGGGCCACTGTGTGCCAAATCCAAATTTCGAATCTTGATCTGAATCTTGGACATGAATCATTACAATTTGAAACCACTCCATTCATTTGATTTCGTTAAATCTCTAGTTTGGTTTCTATCCTCGGCACGAATCGTTACAAGTTGATAATTTTAAATATTTATTTTAAAAATTTAGAGGTATTTTCGTGTAGATATTTGTATTAATTTAGTTTAATAATAATAATACTTGCATTGAGGGAGGGTGTGAATGTGATATTGGATTGAATCGGGTCGGGTTAGTTTCAACCCGATTCCAAGTGTGACCATGCGAATTTACCATAAAGCCCCTCTGAAAGCTCTCCCCTGCTTTTCCATTCTTTTCTTTGAGAACAAGAAAAAACAGAGGAAGAGGCCCAAGTTTTATAAATCGGAGCTCTCGTTTTTTTCCCTTACAGAATCCATAGCCGGAATAGCAGCCATGGCCGCTTTACAGTACCTCGATTCGCTTCGTATCTCGCATCCTGAACTCGCGGAATGGTACAATTCGCTCGCAGATCTGTACCAGAAGAAGCTTTGGCATCAACTCACACTCAAGCTTGAGCAATTTGTCGCCCTGACCGTCTTCCAGGTCGGTTTCTTTAACTTAGTACGTTTTTAATGGATATTTTAACATTTTAATTTCATGAGTTTGTGTTAGTATTTTCAGCTTTTAGATGCTTTGGTTTCTTGATGGATGCTGTTAGGGTTTTGAGTCTGCAAATGTTAAGATTGAGTTTTTGATGGCGAAATCAATGGAAATTTAGGGTTCTTTAAACGGAGAGGATCGTGGAGTTGGGGTTTTTGTTATAGCGGTTCTTTTAGCTTACTGAAATTTGGATTCGGAGTAGTTGAAATGTAAAGTACCCCCCACATTTCGGTTGTTGGAGCGTATAAGTTAGAATGATCGACTGAATGTGGGGCATTTCTTAGTTGGAGCGTTACGACTTTACTCATTTGTAAAGAATGGATTGAGAATAAGTTTTTGTTAGACTAAAGTAGAGCAAGAAATTGTCTCCCAATCTTTGCCATGTAATTTTCTTTACATTTCTTGTTCATAACCTGCATGTTAGGTTTATGTGATAGAGAAGTGTTGAGGCTTTAGTCGAAAGATCAAAGTCGCCTTAGCCTACCATGAACAACTTAAGCGTTTTGGTAGATAGTAAGCATGAACTGGGGTCTTTGTTAATTCTTGAGTTTGACTGACTTGCTCTCCTTTTTCTTAAAGAATACGATCTTTGGATGTTGAGACTAAGGAGAGGATAATTGTTGTATTCAATGGGTATTGCTTTAGAGCTGAAAAAGTTTTAAATTATTTTGAGCCAGCGAATGTATGTTTTATCTGGTGAATCCTTGTATATTTGAATATTCAGTTGAATTTTACCAAAATTTCATGATTTATCTACCTCTCTTTATGCAGAAACCCCATATTCAATTAATATTTTGTGTGTTTAAATGTTCAGGCTGGTGATGCACTGATTCAGTTGTATCACAACTTCATCACTGATTTTGAGACCAAAATCAATCTTCTCAAGCTTGCACATTTTGCGGTGATTGTTTCTCGGCAATATGCAGAGAAAGAAGCTGCTATTAGTTATCTTGAAGGGATAATCGAGAAGCTAAGGAGCACTAAAGAGCAGCGCATAGAGGAGCCCATCCTTTATATTAAGATGCAAATAGCTGTTTTTAAGCTCGAGCAAGGTGACCAAAAAGAGTGCAAGAAACTTTTGGAGGATGGGAAGAGCACTCTTGACAGCATGACCGACATTGATCCATCTGTCTATGCTAGCTATTACTGGGTTTCATCTCAGTTTTATAAGTTTCGCCAAGAGTTTGCTGAGTTCTATAAAAGTGCTCTTCTTTATCTGGCATATACTTCAGTGGAGTCACTGTCGGACTCTTTTAAATTGGTATGATGAATAGTTTTCGTTGTGTACAGTTCATTATCTTTTTATAACCTTTTTTTCCCTTTCAAACAAGATACTGGCTCAGATCATAATATCCAACGCTTGATGGGTTCTTATCCTCTATCCATACTTGGCTCATGTTTTTATTTCGTTATTTAAATTATTGCCTGTTGTTGTCCTTGTAGGATTTGGCCTTTGATTTGTCTCTTTCTGCACTTCTGGGAGATAACATCTACAACTTTGGGGAGCTTCTTGCACATCCTATTGTGAGAATTTGCACCGTAGTTCATTATTATTCTGCTCTCTTTATATAATATTTTGCATTGCCTTCAAGGGTTTATGTTGATCTTTTCTCCTTGAGGTGGAGTAAACTAAAATATCACTGTTTTTTTTAACAAATAATTTAATGTGAGGATGAGTACAATGGCCTTCGTATTTATAACATGATTAACATCCTGCAATCCTTATCATTGCTATCTTTGTGTGAATATTGTTGCCAATACTTAATCTTTTCATGCCTCTATTTATTTTGAACTTCAAACCTGATATGTGTGTGTAACTTCGTCTTGTTCAGATTAAAAGTCTGTTGGGCACAAAGGTCGAGTGGCTGTACTACATACTTCAGGCATTCAATGCGGGTGATTTAGTTCGCTATCAAGAATTGTGTCAAGTGCATAATGCAGCTTTAAGGGCTCAACCAGCTTTAGTTGAGAATGAGAAGAAACTATTGGAAAAAATCAACATTCTCTGCCTTATGGAAATTATCTTCAGGCATGCAGGCTTTGCTCCTTTGTCTGTTGGTTATCTGCCCAATATCTTGATTTTTCTATATCATTTTTGTGCTAATTTGGTTTTGTTGCAGCCGGCCATCCGAAGATCGGACTATTCCATTGAAGGTTATAGCAGAAAGGACAAAACTTTCTATAGAGGATGTGGAGCATCTACTAATGAAGAGCCTCTCTGTAAGTATCACTTGTAGTTATTTTCTCCGAAGAATTGGTTCAAATCTGTCCACGAACTTGGTCACTTGAAATTAAAATAAGTTGGCCAAGAGAAACTTTGATGCACCAAAGGAAAAGCAGCAGTGATATTATTTTGGAAGGCATAAAAGTTTGTTTTAGATTAGTTTTTAACATACGGGGTGAATTCGAATTTACAATCTTTTATTTGAGGGTATATGCTTTAATCTGACCGAGCTATATTCAAGTTGGCAAATTCTTTCTAGATTAAATATGGAGAAAAATCAGTAAGTTGGATGAATGAAAAGAAAGCTCGTTTTGTTGAAATAAACTATTTTATCACAACTTTCTAGGCAGTTGGAAAAAAAAAAAAAAAAAACGAACCATTCATTCATTGACAATGCTGAAAGGGAGCATTAAGCTTTGTATTTCTGTGTGGTGAATGCTATGAGGTGCAACTACAGATCTGACCTTTTCTGATGAATTCCTTTTCTTAACTTGTGGCCTTACTGATTTCATAATCACCATGATTGAATTTTGATGCGTATACGAGACAATTCAAACAGGACTTATTGCTATTAGGTCGTTTACCAATGTCAGTAGTTGATGATTATACAATTGTTACGGGAAGACCAATGAAAGAAAAACTGAATGTTTTTTATTTGCAGGTCCACCTTATAGAAGGTATAATCGATCAAGTCGAGGGGACAGTGCATGTTTCCTGGGTGCAACCTAGAGTTCTGGGCATTCAACAGATCAAATCCCTTCGAGACCGGCTAGACAACTGGGTGGATAAAGTACATTCGACTTTGCTTTCAGTTGAGGCCGAGACCCCCGATCTAGTCGCATCATAATCCTCTTCATTTCATATCGAAACAACTTAGCGAAGGAGAAAGAAGGGGAGAGGGACAAAACAAAAGCCAGGGACCAACTGATCCTTTCTATAATGTTCATGTGCTGGTTGGTTTTCAAGCTGTCTTTTCATCTTACCTACTGCTTTCTTGAACTATTTTTTAGGAAGCAGAAGCCTCTACTTCAGTCTAGTTAGTTTTAAAAGTGAGCATGAATTGGAGGAGTAGAGAACAGACTTAAGATTGGATATTATACTTCTGTATTTGTTACTTTTATTGCATACAATTGAGTTTTACTGAGCTGAATGCTAATCAATTTTCTTATAACAAAACTTTAAAGTATGAAGAACATAGGGCTGCAGGCTTGCTATATGGCATGAGAAGATATCAAAACTTCAAAAAATGGCAAGAACAACCTTATTCGATCCGAGGAGAGGTGAGAGGAAAGTGAAGCTCATGTTTTTCTTCCTTTTTTGGGCTCACTTTTGACACTATTTATGAAACTAGTACAAGAAATCTCTGTTCATCATCATTGTTGTCTAACAAATGGAGATGAGCTCACCTGTGCTATAGAAGGAATCCTCAGGTCCAAAGTAGTTCTCTTCTTTCTCGTCGTCCCACTTAACAACTTCTCTTATATACTTGAATGCTTCGTCGATAGTCACTCGGTCCCTTGCTCGAGCTTGCCATACAAAAAGCTTACGACCAGTGATGGATTGATAAAGGTCTTTGAATTTCATGGCTACGTAGTAGTAAGCTTGATGAGAGAGTGACTGGTTGCTGTGCAGCGGTTGAACGGGGCTAAAATCGTTAAACCATTCACAAACATTCAATGACACCCGGTTTACTTTCTCTTCGAAGAGATCGTACTTGTTGAGTATCAAAACAAATGGGGTATCTTTGAAGCAAGGGTGTCGGACCATCGTCTCAAAGAGCTCCTTACTTTGCATCATCTTGTTTTGTAATAGGTTCCCGCTGCCACTACCTTCGGCAGCAAGAGACATCTGATCGAAATCACTGAGAGCAACGCAGAAGACAACGACTCGAACGTCTTCGAACATCTCTACCCACTTGCACCCTTCATTCATCCCCTTAGCACTTACCCTTATAAGTTGGTATCTGTAACAATAGAATACAAATTTAAGTGGCTACAAATTTGGAAACACTTTCAGGGAGCCAAATCAATATCTAGAATGGGAGCATATACCGAGTAAGGGGCGGGGGTGGAGCTTCGAGATTATCAATGTAGGTCTCGGACATTGGACTCCGATCGTCGAGTGAAAATTCCATGAAAGCCAATCCGTTCCCTTGTGTCACCCCCTCTGCGTAGAGGATATCTCGATCGGAAGGTTCGTATTCATTGCTCGACACCTCCACAGCCTGAAACAATCACAAATTCTAAGCATTTTCTCCCAACAATTCAATCATTCCTAACCCAAAGCTAAGATAGATGATGGCAGATGATGTTATTTCCAATACAAACATTCTGGTTTAGAAAATCAAGTATAATCATGAGCAAGCGATGGATTACCCTGCTTAAGAAGTACTCGGCAACATCGGGAAGAAAGTGGAGCTCGTTTTTTCTCTTGTAAGTTTCTTGGATCGCAGGATCTTTCCATAGCTCTTCGACTAATGGAGCATACTCGCGAGTTGCAGCAGGGAAGAATGCATCCAAATCTCCGGTAGCGATGATATCGAGAAGCCAATCGGAAAAATGTTTTAACCTCGAGTTGATGGAGTATATGCATTCGCTAACCTCCCTCTCTCCATCTTTGAAAAGAAAAGTTTGTAACTAGAGAAGCATTTGTATCATTTCATTAAGAAGTGTAATGAGAAAAGGGTGGATAGAAAGTCTTACCAGTGACGAGAGCTTGATCGCCCCGAGAATTTGGAGCATTTTTTCGGTTTATGAACTCCTCCTCAAAGCGTTCTCGACCGTCCAGCAGGATGCTGAGATACTTATACATGTTACTCTGAATCATAAGTTTGATATCTTGAAGCTCTTCTTGATTAAATCTGTTCCCATACAAAAATTTTCCCTGCAAAAAAAAAAAAAACAAGCATCGAAGATAGTTTTAAAACCTTTCCCTAGTAGATGTGTTTTAAAACCTGGAAGGGAAGTCCGAAAGGGAAAGCCCAAAGAGGACAATATTTGCTAGCAGTGGATTGGGCTGTTACAAATGGTATCAGAGCCAGACACTGTGCTAGCGAGGAGGCAGAGCCTTGAAGGAGGGTGGACACGAGGCAAGGAGGCTGAGCCCAAAAGGGGGTGGACGTGAGGCGGTGTGCCAGCAAGGACGCTGGGCCTCGAAGGGGGTGGATTGGAGGGGTCCTACATCTCTTGGAGAAGGGAACAAGTGCCAACAAGGATGTTGGGCTCGGAACGAGAGTAGATTGTGAGATCCCACGTCGATTGGAGAGGAGAACGAAACATTTTTTTATAAGGGTGTGGAAACCTCTTCTTCGCAGACGCGTTTTAAAAACCTTGAGGGGAAGTCCAAAAGGAAAAACCCAAGAGGACAATATCTGCTAACAGCGGTGGCCGACTTCGTAAAAAAGAAATTCCTCGGCCCAACATACTTATAAGTTCCTACTCTCCACTTCCAAGGTTCTGAACATCCAATAAAACATTGGTGAAGCAAAATAACAACAATAATGATAGCAAACGTACCTGCTTAAAGACGGTGCTAGTTCCCGAGCCTTCGATCCCGATGAGCAGAAGTTTTTGAATCCTTTTTTGTTGCTCAAAATAGTTGGGAACTGATGTATAATTGCTAGCCTCTTCTCTCACTCCAGGTGGTGGTTGACCGTGTGGCACAGGCAATGAGAACAACGCACAGACAAAGCGTGTCGAAGCCTGCCTTATTCAAAGCATATATAAGGTTCTCGATATCAAAAGGATCAATTCGACATAGGTTAAACTTCATTCAAAAAGTATTATGTGCACCTTCTCCCAAATATTTCCTCTGATATTGTTCTGACCTTCTTCCTCGTACCGACCGTCATCATAGACCCAAAAATGTGTGTCTCGTGGGCATTGTACATTTGCCAACTGAAAATTAATCACATCGAATAGGTCTAGTTATAACCGAAGCGACAAACCATTAGACTTCTAAAGGGAACTGAGCTCATAATCGAAAACTTCGTTTTTTAAGTAGACACGGAGATACTTTTCACAGTAAACGAGCAAACTAAACTAAATCAAGATCTCTCATCGAGCAATCCATGTGACGAGGAGGCTGAAAATAATGCAATACCGGTCAGTAGAAGAGTTGGAGAAGCCATCAGCCAACCAACTCCAAAAAAAATTAAACAATATAAATAATTCGAGCTGATTAACGACTCCAAGTTGAACGTTCCTCACATCCTTCTTCCTTGATCAATTTTTCAAAACCGAAAAAAAACACGCACACAACTTTTCAATGATATGTGTTCTTTGTTCTTCCTTCTCTCCACCAAAATTGGACCGAACCTACGACACGTGGTGTTTACCGAGTCTCAACTCAGTCCCCCACGTAGCCAACAAGCTACAAAAGGTTTTGGTACTTTTCGAAGATATGTGAAATATTACGAAGTAATGCTAACCTCCAAAAGACTTAGCGTTACAAAAAAAGACGTCTTGATCAGTCATTACTTACACCGTTCATACATGACAATCCATGCGATTTTTTGAGATAGAACGAAGTTTCTGTAGAACATACAAGTCAAAACATCTCGAGCATTTCCGAGCTTATTTTCAACTAGTATAGACCTTTGGCGAGCAAGCTATGATTAAGGAATGTAAGAAAATAAGGCATTATATATGGTATCACTAGATTGATCTAAGTACGAAGCCGAAAGTTGTACCTTAAGCACCCTTAGTTCGAGTCTAGTGATTTCTCGACCGTTGATGTAAACTTCGGTGTTTCCGTTGCTTGCACTGGGGCTAAGCTTGCCGGTGAAGCTCAAGTTCGAACAAATGATTCTATCTGGTTTTTCTCCTTCCTGTCAGATCAGCACAAAAGTAGTTCATGAAGTTCTCGTTGCAAAGACGAAAGCGTGTGTATATGGCGAAACAATAAATATCAGAAGAAAGCTAACGTCGGTATGTTATAGTCACCTTTCCCCAGAGACCGGATTCTTTGTCGTACCAGTATCTACCAGGTTTCAATTTCTGTGGAGGAAGAGGGCATCCGAGTAATTCGGCCATCTCTTCAGCCCGTAGAGGTAATCCATTCACAATCAGCTGTTCGGGACGAAGCTGATTAGCAGGACATTCTTTCTCAGCTTTCATAATCTGCTTGACTTCTAAAGGACTAAGTAAACGAGACAAGACCCTCGAATGCTTGCCCAATTTTGACCTCTTAGACTCGTCTATAGGAGCAGCGATGCAAGTGACGCATTTACGCCCTTCAGGCATTGATCCCATGGCTCTAAGGACACAGCTACCGCAATACTTATCATCACAAACTAAACACGACTCCTTCGTTTCCCACTTTCCTTTCCCACACCTATAACATACTCGAGTTTTCTTTTTCTTCTTCTCTTTCGAAACTCCGATGTACTCTGGATACACTTGCTTCTCAACATTAAGTTCCTTTCGATGGGAGTGATCGACAGTATTAAAAGTGACAACAGGTGCTCTCCTCGCATCGATAACCACTTGTCTCGGTTGATTGCTAGGAACGTTATGAACCGAAGCTGGGGAGGCAGAAGGTGAAGCTGAAGAGAAATCACGATTTTGCAGGACGGATACTACAGACTCCGAACTTCCTGATACCCTTGGACTCTGAGTAGGGGAACTCATGACACCAACAATACGAGAAACTGGCAAAGGAATCGGTTCAATCATCGGAGGACCATTACAAGCAATGGACCTTTGGGATTCAGATAAAGGTTCAGCCATTGGAATCGAATGAGGATTCACATCAACAGGTTCGACTCTCGGGACGTCATAGATTACTGGTGGACCCTCATACTCCATAGCTATGGAGTAATCCAAATCGCCAGCACTTTCCGGGATAGATACTCCAGGAGGGAGCATCTCCTTCACCAATTTCCTCCAGTTTTCTTCCTCCATTCTTTCGTTTTCGGACGACATACACTAGATTCACGACGCGAATACTAAATCGAACTTATGAACACGTTCGAGATAGAAGAACTCTCGTCTATATCTAGCTCCCTACAACAACATCCACAAACAAAACCTCAAAAATCTTCACAATCAACAAAGACAAACAATTCCTCCAACAAAAACATTCATCAGCAGCCCTGGATTAACAATTCCTAGTTCGAATCTGACTTAAAAGACACTAAGAAAACTTCAAAATCAAAAGCCCTAATTATCTTCCAGTCAAAATCAAGACATCCAAACCGCTAAATCAAACAATATTTTACAAAAAAAAGAGTAGACGAAGGCATCCGTATAATCCAAGAGTTGAAAAATCACAGTCAAACAAACAATAAATTATAAACAAACAAAAAGAAAAAGAAGAACACGCTGAACAAAACCACAAGAATCAAAAGCTAACAGATACCAAAAGTGGTGAAAAGAGATAGAGAAAAACCCTTTTGAAGCGCGAACAGTTGGGTTTTAGAGAGAGTAAAGTAGAAAAACACATGAAGAAAGTGACAAAATGAGAGCGAACCAGGGAGGCCGAGAGGCGGCTTTTTAAGGATTGTTGGAGCTTTTGGAACCCAAAGGCAAAAGGGACTGCAAAATCCACCACCATGGACGAGCGAAAAGACGAAGACCCCCAAAAATGGTGAAAGCGAAGCAGAAAGCAAATACAGAGAGTAGGACTCGGAAGTGAGGGTATTGTCTTAACCAATCCACTCCCATTAAATATATTTATTCACATTTTTTTTTTAATTATTATATAATTTTATTTAAATCTTTATATTCATATTTATTATATTAAAAAAAATTATACGATCCCATCGGGGTATTTTAATTTTTTATTACCAAAATTGTTGAATTCAAAAAAATTCAACTATTAAAATATTATAATTTTAAACTTATTTAAAACGATAATATTAAAATCTTAATTTATATGATGTCATCGAAATATTTTAATTTTTTATTACCATAATAAAAAAAATTAAAAAAATGTTTAATATCTAAATTAATTAAAATATATTTTTTAATTATTATATAATTTTATTTAAATATTTATATTTATATTTATTATATTAAAAAAAATTATACGATCGGGTATTTTAATTTTTAATTAAAAAAAATTCAACTATTAAAATATTATAATTTTAAATTTATTTAAATGATAATATTAAAATCTTAATTTATACGATCTCATCGAAATATTTTAATTTTTTATTACCATAATAAACAAAAAACGTCTAATATACTTTAAATTAATTAAAATATTATAATTTTAAAATTTTTTTCTAAGGTATAATGAAATATTTTATTTATATTTGGCATTAATTGAATTCTTATATATTGTTAAGTCAGCAATATAACACCAATATTAATATTACAACTATTTGTAAAAATTATCCTAAAAAATTATATATATATATATATATAAAAGTGGGCCCCACTAATTCTAATCTTATTTGAGTTCGTGATAGATAGAGACTGGTTACAGGGACAGACGGTTGTCCTTGAAGCTATTGTCCCACGCGCCAACCAAGCACGTGACAAGAAAGACGAACACGACCAAGATATTTATAACATGGAATTGCAGTTTCAAAGCGCTTCGAAGAGCGTGGGCAATCATCTCCATTTTGACGGTAACGGTATCGTTAACTTTAACTCCATAATTGTAATTTGTATTCCTCATTATTATTTTCTGACTTCTATTTAATATTAGTCTTTTTAGTTCCATTACATTTTTATTTTGGTAAATCACTTTTAAATAAATAAATAAATGGGATTTTTAATATATTTATCTCTATATAATATTGTTTTAAGACGATTATATTTATCTTATTATAGTGATAAAAATAAAATAAAATAAAATTTTATCTTAATCTTTAAATTTAAATTAATTTTAACCGTTACTTATTATATATTGTATTTTGAATAAAAAAAATTAAATATTTATTATTTAAAATAAATGTATTATGTATTAACTTGTTATTATTATTTTTAGTTGGCAAATTCGTGCCTTCCAAAAGTTGATCTCAACATTGTTTTAAAATCCAATATTATCTTTAATAATAATAATAATAATAATAATAATAAAATTCGGATCAACCTGCTGACACCTCATCATAAAAATAAAACGGGAATAAGGGAAGGAAAAAGCAAAAGTAAAGGGAAAAGTATAATTAGTTAATATATTTATAAAAAATAATTTTTTTTTTTACTTATTTTCTTATTTTTTACAATAAATTTTATTTTATTTTATTTTATAAAGAAACATTTAGATTCTTCACCCAAATAAAAAAGGCAAAAAATTAAATTTGTGTTTTTTTTCCGTACAATGATTCCACATCTTTTAAAAAAACATTTGAATTTTTTTTAATTAAAAAAATTAAAAATTAAAACTTTGGGAACATCCGATAAAATTGGAACGATACAGAGAAGATTAACATGGCCACTGCGCAAGGATGACACGCACAAATCGATAAATGGTATCAGAGCCATACACCGGACGATGTGTCAGCCTTCTCGTTGTTCCTCGAAAGGGGTAGACACAAGGCGGTGTGCCAGTAAGGACGCTGGCCCTAAAGGTGGTGGATTTAGGTGTGGTCCCACATCGATTGGAGGAAGGAAAGAGGGCCAACGAGGACGCTGACCCCGGAAGGGGGGTGGATTGTGATGTCTCACATTGGTTGAAGAGGATAACAAACCACCATTTATAAAGGGTGTGGAAACCTTCCCCTAACACGTTTAAAAACCTTGATAGAAAGTCCAAAAGGAAAAGCCCAAAGAGAACAATATCTATTAGCGGTGGATCTGGGCCGTTATACCCAAGAGCTTTAGAATGAATAGATAATAAAGTTTAGTGTTTATAATTTAAATAAAATAATTTTTTTTTTTTTTTTTTATAGAATTATAAAATTTAAAGACTAAAAATATTAATTTAATTTTAAAAACTAAATAAAAGTTAACGACCTTTATTAACTAAGCGGAGTCGTAAATTTAAATCTTCTCTTCATTATTCAAACGCCATTGAGAATAACCACTCACACTCATGGTGGGTGGGGGCCCACAAGGAGGTGATTTTAATGATGACACGTGGACGACTGTAAATCAAATTTGGAAGTGGGACCTACAAAATTAAGTTACAGAGAGAAACTGAATTATAAATAAATAAATAATTCGTATTTTATTATTATTATTATTATTATTATTATTATCTGAATAAAAGGTGGGGGAGTACAGAGTAGAATTATTGGGTTTTGGTTTATAAGTTACCAACTTATTATATTTATTGCCAACGGCCCCCTACTTTTTCCTTTTCTTTTCTTTTTTGTCCCCAACTTTCTGTCCTTTTTTATTTCTGCCCCATTCTCTCAACTCAAATAAATAAATAAATAAATATAATTTTCTCCTATTTTTTTTCCCCTAAAAATAATACCTAAATTGGATTTTTCGTTATAATTAGAAATAGATATGAGACAAAAATAGAATTTGTAGGGCCTCCTTTGAAATTACTTTTGTAGTAGGGGTAGAAAGCAATTATCAGAGAATATTGGGGGCACTCTTGTAAGCTATACTATTTTTCAATTTACTTTTACTTGCTAAATTATGTCGAATCCATCTTTTGAATTAAAATTTTCTTAAAATGTATTGTTTTTTATTGATTCTTTTTTTTTTTATAATAATAATTTTTTATTAAATAATTTAGATTGAACTAAATTGTTTGCTATTTGAAGCATAAGCATCTTCAAATAGTTATCTTATAGTAAATTAGATATTGAATATTAATATTTAATAATTGGAATAATACAGCTACTTTGGTTACTTGGTTATTATAACTAGATTCCAACAATTTAATATTAATATATTAGTTTTTTTTTTTTTTAATTTACTAAACTAACAGCCCAAAGCCCGCCGTTGAGCAATATTGTCATATACCGATGATTTAGTCGTCATTTAGAATTTCGTATCTGATGACACTTTTTCAATTAGGGATAGTAATAGCAGCATTTATTCCATATATTTGGATAATGAAAATCAAATTTTTGAGATTGACAATGATCATTTTTTTTTGGAGGTGAACTAGAAAGTTTTTTTTTTATAGTTTTTAGAACTCTACTTATAAAAATAATGTATCTAAGAGTGATGATTCCGACTATGGTCGTTACATGTATGATACTAAATATAGTTGGAATAATCACATTAATAGGTTTTTCACACCCTTATAAAGAATCCTTGTTCTCTTTTCCTACTAATGTGAGATTTCACAATCCACTTCCTTGGGGACCCAGCATCCAGCATCCTCGCTGACACACTGCTCGATATCTAGCTCTGATACCATTTGTAATAGCCCAAGCTTACCGGTAACAGATATTGTCCGTTTTAGCCCATTACGTATCATCGTCAACTAGACACATTTTAAAACTTTGATATTAACGACGATACATAATGAGCCAAAACGAATAATATCTGCTAACTGTTGACTTGAGCAGCCACTCCATCTCAAACTGAGTCTTATATCTTTAGATCTCATCTTCATCGATCTCATTTCATTCTAGAAATAGCTTAAAAGTGCTAATATTTTGACATATTTAAATACCAGAGTTGGATTGGGAACCTGTTGAAGACAGACTTTCCATAATTGGACCAAATTATAATTTAACCAATATATATTCTCAGAAAAACTCTGATGATCAAAGCAGTTAAAATGATAAAACCTCAATCCATTATCCATAAAACTACCAAGACGAAAACATAATACAAGAAACACCGTAGAAAAGTTGGGTTTAAACAGAAGGTGCCATACACTTACTTCTAGGATCACCACGTTCTAGAGCAACTCCATTGGGATCTTCTCTAACCAAGAGGGCAAGAACATTGAGTGAAGTCCATGACTTAATCACATGGCTGCTAGAATCACCTAATGTAATAGCAAAAACAGCATCAAACCCACCTGCCCCTGGAACTCCAGCCAGCAAAACTCCTTCCAATTCCATTGTTCTATCCAATAGCTCAGTTTGTGACTTTGGTTCAATCTGGCATATATACCCAACAATATAACTCAGGTACTTTTTATTTGTATTCTTTGGACCGAAATGTTCTGATGCGTTGAGAGCATGGAATGCCATATGATGATTTACTTTTTTTTTTTTTTTTAGTTTTAACAATTGCAGAGAGGATGATCGAATAATCAATATTTGGGATGATAATGAATGTCTTATTTACTGAGCTATGTTCAGACTGACATGATTTTTTATTTGTTGCTTCAAATGTACTGTCCATCGACAATGAGTAAGGAGGGAATTGAAGTTATAACAATAACCGTAAAACTAGTTTTAAGAGTTATTAAACGTTTAGGGAGTAAATTTTGAAAGGACATGGACTAAAATAAAACAGATCTATCGTAGTAAAGGGATCAAAACTGTATTTTAGTGAAAGATGAAAGAGAGAAGAAATGAAGAAAGAGACTTACTGGAATGCCTGCAGCTTCGCCCATTTGCCGCATATGATTTCGTATTTCGAGCATGGCATCTCTTGCCCCTAACAGCGCTTTAACAATGCCTTGTTGGTTTGGTTCAGTAGCTTGTTCCATCCACTACTCAAATCAAATTGTAACATGTTAAGGTCAATTAACAAAAACATGGATAAAAGAAGTAAATTAGTATGCAGGGACACAATCAAACAAACTTCTATACTCAGAAGGT